CTACCCTTCTTGGAAGCACTAACTACGGAACCGACGCGGATCATTGGTGCCTCTTAGTGCTTCATACCTTACATCAGCCTGACCAGCCGTTTTTGAAGAAACACTATGGCGATATGAAACGAAAGAGTTAAATGTCTTGGAAATGGGAATAATACCTATACTCGTAGTTATGATTCTTTTTGAGATACTTAATACCTTCCCAACTACATGAGTAATGTGGTTAAAACCACCTGACATTGACAACGAAAGATGATAATGTTAAATGTGTCCAGTGTGATTACTGAAACCAATAATAAATGCCACTCCACCTTGGCCTCTTACTTATTATAAGTAATTTGTTGAGACAATTCCAAGAATCTTAAATGTGTTCAGTGTGATTACTCAACCAATAATAAATACGACTTATTTATTAGAAGTTCGATGTTGACGGAATCCTTCCAAGAACTTTAAATGGAAGCTAAGTGTGATTACCAAAATGTTGCTTATCTGCCTCCTCTCAGATTCAAGTTGGAAATACCGGGTGTACTAAAATGTATTTTTGAAACAGCAAGACATTCCCAGCGTTCATTTCGAATTTTCAAAAGTTTCGAACTACTAAGATCCGTTTCACAAACGACTGATGATCAGTCCTGATGAGACAGTCATCAGTCGATCGATCAAATACGCACGGGCATCAGTCGAGCCCTTGCGTGAGCGGATGATCAGGACCGCGCCGCAAAATCTGGCAACTTGTTTTAAGGGCCTCTCTTAATGTTTTTAAGAATAATCCGAGGTAGATAATCACTTCTATTTCTTCGAGTAAATCGAGATGAGCTTAAGAATGAGTCCCATCACGGTATATAAGATGTACCTATATACAATGGTGCCATCTAATACTCTTGCTTTCTGATACGAGTATAAATATACCAGGTGGCCCAAAACTCAGTTTCCTCTTAGCATCTTTGTATTTGTTGTGCATCTCTCATTAGTTGTTATGATTCGTGATAAAAACTCATCATCTACTCGTATCGAGGGCGGAGTTCTTTGCAAACCTGAAGTCGTTTAAAGTAATCTTTACGGGCCCAGAGCGATTGAAGAAATTGAAAATGCTACCTATCGAGAAGAAACAAGATAAGCAATCGAATAGTACTACCAACCTGCGCAGGTGAGCCAAACCGTAAATAAAAGCATAGTGTAAGAATAGAAAGTTAAAATAAAAATCACTTGTCAGCGAAAACTCATTTCTCATCCTTTGTAAACAATATACTATTAATTACAATAACCTATCTACAGGATGATACGGGAGGGTTGTGAACTCGTCTTGGCATTTTTGTAAACGCAACCCCTTTAGGCGTATAATACAGTGCAGCCTGATGCCCTGACTAACAGAATGAATACCACCAACACTAATATTTAGAATCCTAGCAATTTTCTTCACAAATATTGGCCTCGAAAACGGCTAGTCGGGCTGATGTAAGGTATGAAGCACTAAGACGCACTAACGAAGCAGTAACGA